CCCATCCCCAGGGGCTAGGGCGGGGCCCCAAAGGGAACATTTACCAATATTTTCAAATTCTTATCCATTGATGACATGACAAGTATTGTATTTCACTTAGTTTACATGCTGATTTCCACATCACATCTAAACAATAAAATAAAGCTACCAGTACCTATGATATAACTCAGGTGACCGCTAAGGCCCTTGGGCCTCTTGTCTTGTTGTTCCAATCTACCTAGCTGTGAAATTAGATAACTCTTGCACCTGAGAGTAACGCTATGATATAAATGCATCTCAGAACTCTCAGATATATCTGTGCTTTACAATATTTGGAAATATCTTATATTTATGAAACACTAAAGCTGAAGAAGGGGGCTTGGCTTTTCCATGGTTCTTTAAGTTCTGTTGTTTTTTATGTGATTGTCTTAGATGTCAATATAAGTGCCATTAGAGTTGATATCTCTAGGATAGGATTCTTAGAATTCTTGCTGTCATTGATAATGCCATGAAAAGGGGAGACCTGTAGTAGTTCGCCGCGTCTACAGTCTACTCTGGTGTATGTATGTCTCTCGTTCAGTTGGCATCATTCTGCTATTGTCATCCATGATTTTTTTATTTGGATGTAACTTCATAGAAAGGTTAAGAACTAAGATCCTTACCTCGAATGAGCTTACATTTTAGGGTCTTTTGGCTAAAGTCAAGGTTACTGTTGCTAAAATTAGAAAAGATTGTCATTCTAGACTTGTCCTCCTTTTCAGCCTAATTTTTATGGAACATTGTTATTTGCTACTGTACATCATTTCAAATGAGTTCCTAATTTTGATGTCCAGAGTCAAAGGTCAAGGTCACTGTAATTTTAAATATAGACAATACGCTTGTGTTCGGTAAAAAGAAATGTGATGCGGGCTGTTCCTGGCTAAGAGACGCGTTAGTTTTTTGCTTATTTGTAGACTTTATACTAAAGTCTGTTTAGTTACTGATGCTTGTGGGATCAATTTAATTGTACACCAGCCATAATTACAGAAAATATGAAATCCAAACAACATGCCTGTTGACAGATTGCTGCATGTTTATGACAGCCACTGCTGGGAGTAATTATAGAAGTAAGCTGAATGAGGGAGAAGGAGGATGGGGGGATGAAGTCATGTTCACATGTAATTGTTCTCAGCCTCCGTCTGCAACCAAAACAAAATCTGATGAAAGAAAAAACCAGTTCTGCGGAACTCCCTATGTAGCAATTTAAACAAATTAATGAAAACTGTATATGCATTGTACGAACCTCGGTTTACACCACAGCTAATTGCCACAAGGTGCCGTCTGCACATGGCTTGTGACGGGGTGTTTATTGTTTCACCAACACATGCAGCAGGTTTTTTTCAAGGAGTTAATGTTTCGGGATGATTAAACATCGCTACCAAACCTCTGTTTTTCCCACACACTAGCATCACTGATGCTTGTAACGGAAATCGTGTCCCGGAGAAAGATACGTATTGACTAACGTCCATACAGTGATACACACATATATATAGGTACAGCACTTGTAAGTCTGGAAGACGTTGCATGCGGTGACAGGGGACCAGAAGTCGATTACTAAACAGCAAGAGTCCAATGGATCGTATGAGATTTTTTTCTGATTTTTCTGACACTGAACTTCCGTTAAGAGGCATGTTAAAAGTTTTAAAAGTTAAAAGTCATTTTATACCTGTAGATTCTTTAATATTGAATTAATATGTGTGAGACTTTAACATTTTGAGTTTGAAATAGTCCAGCAGTAGGATAATTATACTGTTATTGTGCTATTTCTTTTTATCTGTTAGTAACTTTTTTTAAATTTCAGATAGTTCTATGTGAGGCTACCTTTTACAGCCTTAAAAGGTGTTTTGAAATATTTTCACATCACAACTTTGTGATCATCCTTAGTTATTTATATTTACGTATTACATACTTACTAATAAATACGGGGTTTTTGTATATGCGATACGACACAATTGCTCTAACCCATATCAACCCTCACCGAATCACACCCCAAAACCTGTATCGGCCCTTTCCGTATCAGCCCGCAAAACCCGTATCACACCCCTTTTTATGATTTTTTTTTTCGTTTTTCAATATTTCAAAAGAAAAATAGATCATAAGATAGTAGATATATCCATATTTTACAAGTAAGTATGTAATAAACAGAATAAAACATGCCTTTTTCCACATCGCACCCAGTATCAACCCGAGACTCTAATATTAGCCCTCGGGCCAAACTATATTTAGCACAAATATATTTTTTGGACAGTAAAAGGGTGTATTTCATATTATCTAGTGGAAAGTAAAGCATGCACCGAGTGATTATTGACCATCCTCGATACTCCAGGGGTTATGCTCACTGTCGCTCTCTGCACCCCTGGAATATGTCGTAGCAAAATTCAAGGCAGGCGGCTAGCTATTTGATTAGTAGCAGGTAAAAACACCTGACCATTCGCTAGGCTGGTACCTGTCCTTTGAAGATCACAGAGGAGCAACACCCCACTTCAAAGCCAGTCAATTTTACTGTTATGCGACCTGCGAGATGTTTTTGATCTTCTAGTCCCATCCACAAGCTTAAGGTCATAGCATTTTCCAGGGGTGCAGAGAGCGAAAGTGAGCATGGAGTATCGAGGATGTTACTGATAGAACACTTGACATGTGATCTACCAATTGTCTTACTATAGACAATGTTGTAATATGTATCTTCTCCGTCACAAGTTTGATGCTAAATATTTTGATCTATCTCGTAACATTTCTTACAAAAACGTTATACTCTGTTGTTATACTTTCTAATTGGTATAATTTATCTGGTAGAAAATATCATTTGAAGAATTGTTTTATACTTCTATTGCATTTTTGGAACATTTTCTTTTCTTTGTAAACTCTGATGTTGTACGTCTTGTGTTGTTTTAATGAGTAAGTTCCATTTTTCTGTTGACCAGCAGTGACGCGAGCAGAGGTACCCAGTGTATGGTTGTCAGCCATGATTTATAACCCGGACGCCAAAAAATGGTACTGGGAAAATAGTGGCGACTCCGTTTTTTATGAAAACTACATGACGGATCCACCTGCCGGACGGGAAGGTGAGATGTGTAACCAGTATAGGATTGAGTGGGATAGCCACTGGTCAGCTAGCCCCTGTAACGAGGACACCAAACTGCCCACTGTGTGCCACCATCACGTCGACCACATCCCTCCTTCGACAGAAAAACTGCCTTATGGACTGTGATAAAATTGAAACTGTGATAATGAATAATATTCATCTATAATTGTTTTAGACTTATCAGTATCTTTTTTTAAAGTTATTTGTTACATTCAATTACCTACATTTGATGATTCCTGCATTCGTTCTTGTAGCTTTGACATCTGTTTTAGAATTTTCAGTGTGAAAAAAAGTCTGTGATATGAAAAATAAAACTGTTGAATCTTTTCGAGAGTTGCTTCCCTTACACCTGCAAAATGGAGTCGATGAACCACCAAGTCGCTTATTACTGGTTAGGCAGGAAGGAATTGTCTACATTAATTACCAAGCTTAAGGTTCCTAAATGGGAAGTAATTAAAACAAAAAGCTATGGTATTTTTTCCATAGGCCTATGCTTGGAGTCGAACCTAGAACTACATACATGTATTATAAGGTGCTGTGCTGGTCGAGTTAATAACAAACAGCTCAATGGTTCACCACTGTGACAAATACTTTTAACAAATTCATATATCAATAATAAGAGCTCAACATTGTATAACAGGAAACCTGCATTTGTGTTTTAATATTTAACATTTTTCTGGCTGCAATACTGAATATAAACCTGCTGACTGCAAAAAGTTTGTCAACAAGGTTTAGTATAAAACCACAAACTAACTTTCTCAAAATGTTTATGTTATAAAGTAAATTGTAACACAAAGTAAAATGTTAATTACAGGTGAATTACCATTTTCAATTTTTTTTTATAGATGTATTAATTTTCATGGTTCTAATTCTAATTTTCAGTCGTACTACATTTTAGTAATCAGCATGAACAATATATATCTCAACAAAAAGGTTTATCCGAGTACTTCAAGGAAATGCTGGGTGTCAAGCAGATATTTGTGTACAAGTCATTCAATAAGTAACTGTAATGCAACCAGATATATATAACAAAACAAAAAGGGAAACAACATGAACATTTCTTAGATGAAAAAGGTTAATGAAACTTGTACACATCTGTAAGAGGTGTGATTTGGGGTCACAACTTGAGGTCAAACTACAATATTCTACCAGCCTTTTTACATATCTTGATAGAGGCATTACTTCTTGACCATTGAAAATATTTTTATGTGACTTCTTGAACACATATTTCCATCTTTACCATCACATTTGCACCGTACCAAGGAGGCATATACATATGCTTTGGGGTATTTTTGAGAACCTCACACGGTCAAACAAGGTCAAAAATTGAAGTCAAAGCAAATTGTAGTTTTTTTTGTCATGAACTTCATTTATTAGTTAGAAGATGTTTTGAAATAGCTTAACCTTTTTGTTACTTGTTGTAAAATGTAAAACATAGTCATAGACATCACATGTGAATGTTGAACATAGCTTTTTGCATGATCTGTGCTTTAGGGTCAAAATCACCGAGGTCAAAGGTCAACTTGCTTATACATGTATTTGCTTCCCTGTGTAGCTACATGTCTTTAAAATACTTCTTAATGGCTGTATAGATGAGGTTCTTTTTATCTTCTTTATAGTGAAATAACAAGGACTAATAAAATGGCCTCTTCACTACTAAAGATACATTTGCATGCTTCCGCATAAAGATGTAGTCCGTCCTTACTTAGAAGAGTATGTATTTTACTGTGTAGATCATATTTTATCTACAACATCAGATATCTTACAACATCAAAACAATACGTATAACGACAAAACAGAATATTTTTAATGCAGATTGTCAATTTCAAGCCTTTAACGCGCGGATGAATACATTGCAGTTTAAAACTTCTGCGAAACGTCGTGTAAAGGTACCAGACAAATTGGATAAGATAGAAAAATCTAGTATGGGGTATGACATGGGATGTCTCTGTCTGCAATACCATATCTTGTGATGGACTTTTGATTCAAGTTCTCGATGTGTGTATTAATTTGAATGCAAATGTCACACACAGTGCTTATTTTAAAGGCAAGTCTGTAGGCAAAGCTCAAAGTTGGAGGCTGAATCTTGGTAAAGAAATATTGATGGCGGTATAAATGTTCATTTGCAGTACACTTAAACCTCCATATAATGGCTCTGATTTCATGTGCGCCCTTGCTTACTGCCAAGATAGATCAACCCCATTTCTCCTGTTTTCTAAACAATTTCTTATATGTATACTGCAATGTTTCACTAAAACCCCGGTATATTGGCAACACTTTTTGGACAAATAGGGGAATTATAAAGAAGTTTTTACTGTTAAGATATAAAAAAACACCAAGAGGCCCATGGGCCTTAACGGTCACCTGATATATTTATACAGAGAGTTGATTTTGTTTTTAACATGAACAGAAATATTATTCAAAGTGACAAAAAACAATAAAACCACCATATTCAATATCTAGCAAACAGATTTCAGACTAAAAAGGATTTGAAACTAGCACCTCTGATTCTAACCAAGGAAAATGAAGAAATTTTAGCACATTGACTCCTTTGAGCCTCACCCTACAGCCCTTGGGGGTAGGGCTGGCTCAAAATTTTCAAAGTATCAAACTGTCAATTCAAGGTTATAATTCCAATCAAGTTATTAACATGTAATATTCAAAGTATCATTTG